ACCCATATTGATGGGATTGATAAAACCTACGTTATCCGCCATTTTGTAGCGGCGGCCATCTTGAATTTATAATGATAATGAATAAACATAATTGTATTGTCACCAAAACCCAAAGTGTATACAAAATTTCAGATTAATCGGTTGACAGGAAGAGGGTGAAATTTGAATTACTAAATTTGATCCAAGAATAAATAATAAAACAAATGGTTTGAGCTAAATAAAACCATTTAAAAAAGCTCACATATTTCGTCCATTTTTAATAATTTATATACTTAAATTACTAGTTCTGTGTATTAATATTTTTTACACACAATTAAACAATTAATTTAAATAAAATATATATAAATTATTCAGATTTTTAACTATTTTGAGTTGTTGTTGTGCCAATTCTCTACATGTCCTTATTCCATTACCGTCTTTAAACTTTCTTCCACAACATTTTTATTTTGTTTATTCATATTCGTGTTGTCGAAAAAAAAGCAGTCGCCTAAAAAAATGTGGATAGTAAAAATGCAAGCAGCTTTGGAAATCAAAAAAAGTGGTTTGCAAATTGCACTCAAACTTGGAAGATCTGAAATCGTGGTTCGAAATGTTTTTATGTGACCAACCGAGTGCAAGTTTTAAGAGAAACTGGAGACATAAAATGGAAGAAAACGGGCAAGCGTCCAAGTTTATCGAAGATACAAAAAGAGCAGATATTGGCAGTTCCATAAAAGTATATGCACTGATATTAAATCTTGATTCTTGATGGTTTGAGCTTCTCTTGACAGGATACTTACAAAAGGCATGGCCAAAATGTTGGCGCAACTTTGGAGGCGTTCCTTTACGTAAAATTATATGCTGATACTGTGCTTCATTATTACACAATTGAAATTCAAGAAGCACACAGAGGTGCTGATCTGTTAGTTTATGGAAAATAATTGTAGAAACAGAATTCATCTTTTAACAAGACAATGCCGCCATTCAAGTGTCGAATAAAAATTTATTGGGCTTCAAAGGAATATGCCAATTGTATGATATTTAAAACGGTTTCTGAGCTTAAGAACAACTGATACTGAATCCGATGTCATAATATCCAACGGAAGTGCGACTATATACCAGGAAAATACATTTCCACTCGTATTCCATTTAAAACAATTTTTAAAAATGAAATAAAGTACATTTTAATAAATAATTAAAAGAATAACAAAAATTTAAGAACCTACAGGATTGAATTCAAGCAAATGTAGGTGACATTATCCTGACATCCCTACATTGCAGTGCAAAATCAGACAAAAATTACAGCTGCAACGCAATTTTAGATGCTTATGCTTTTATCACCAACCTATGTGTGCGAGTTGGAGGATGGAGTGCGTGCACTGCGAAGTCCTAACATCGACTCGGACCACTATCTTGTTGCAGCGAAGATTCGCACGCGCCTCTGTGCAG